CTCATTAAGTGCCATTGCACGTGTATGTGTCAGTGCATGTGAGGAGAGTAAGCTGGAAAGTCCATCTCAGTATTTTTTCAAGGCTTTCGCTAAAATTTAATAACAGTTTATTTATGTATTTGCTTTGAAAAAGCCATGTTGCCAAGTAAATGTAAATTTGCATATGCATATGTTGTTCTAAAACATTTGAATAGGGATGCAGCAATATTAAAATTCTGGCTGATACAATAAGCAGACTATAATTTAAAATGTTTAAAGCAAGATGAAATATTCCGTCAAAATCTAGTGTAAAATAATAAAAATGTGTTTTTTACAATAAACGGAGGAAATTGTAATAAAAAATATAAATGCTAAAAATTGCATGTTTTTTATTTATATGCAATTTTAAGTATTTATATTTTTAATTATAATTTCCTCCATTTTTTATAGACTTAAGACTTTTTTATATATTTGGGGATGCAGCAATAAAATGGGTGATATTTAGGCATCACAAAATTATATACAGTAATATACAGTATGAAAAATGGATATTCATTTAGAAGTTCTAAGTGTTATTAAATTATTATAAATTTTTCCGTTAGATGACAGAAAAGGTTATCGGTATGTAAAAATAATAATTTTAAAAAATCTGTGAAATTTACGGTAAATCACCATTAAATATACGATGGCCACATTTTCCGTTTTTTTTTAGACTGATCTTAAATTTACAGTAAAAAGTGTATATATTTCATTACCTAAAATAATGTTAATATACCAAATTACTAAAGTTATTATTATTATTTTTTAACCAGACAGCAACCTTAAAACACAATTAAAATTGAGATCATTACAGTTTTCTACTGTATACAGTGAACTTACTGTTAACCAATTATCAGGATTTTACTGTAGCATTTAAAAAAAAAAAAAAGACCATTAACATTATGATCATTTTTTTTACAACGTAGGATAAATGAACACATGTCTTTATTGAGATGTCATTGCAGGCTGCAGACAAAAAAAAGATGCAGTGCGACTAGTGTAGTCTGATTCACAAGCAAATGAGTCTTCAGAGCCTGCTCTCGAACCAAATGATTGAGTCAGTGTTGTTATTAACTAAAACCATTAAAAAAAAAAAACGAAATAAAGTAAAATATAAATATTAGATGAAAATGTAAACTAATGCAGAAAATGTACACTAAAATGACTTAAATGAAAATTTGTGAACTAAATAAGTTAAAGGACTAAAATGACTCCAATTAAAATAGCAATGAAAAAAATCTATATCAAAAAATAAAGAACAAAAGTCAAAGTAATAAAAATGACAAAAGCACAAAACAAAATGACCGCAGATTTAAAATAAAATTAATATTAAATATTAAAATTAAAAACTAACTCAAAATATTAATGATTAGGCTACTTTAATAGTGTGTAAATAATGCTAAAATTACTCTCAAGAGTGCTTCATTTAATGTTCTCTCTAAGTTACTCATTTACAATATTTGTAATAATTTAATGTAATACATTTTTGATTATATTTCAGTCAAAAAAGAAAACATTAAATGCTAATTTTAAACATTAAAATATTGCCAAAATAGTCGAGTGTAACATTGAAACAGACATTTTCTGTACAAGCTGCCTTTAAACAGCACAGTACAAAAATATGCATTGTGATAGCGCTATACAAATAAACTTGACTTGAACTAAATTGAATTTATATAGTGTATGTGGCAGATTCACCATATATAAACCTTCCGAAGGTCATGACCTTTTTTTTTTACATTAAAAAAACATGTTTCTGAGATGGTTACTTAGAACATGCAGTGTAAGGAGGTCATGTGACATATATTATTGTTTGAAAGGTTAAAGCATGTAGAATACCATGTCACATAGGCTACTATTTTCAAAGGAATTAGGAAGTACACAATGCGCAGTGTGCAGAGTATGCATTAAACGTCTAGTTCCTCCTCGAAGTGGTTTATTACAGGCGTTACAGGCCAGTGTTCGAGTCAGAAGTTGTCGGAAAGCTCAAACAAACAGAACTGTGTTTTGAAAGCAGCACAGTGTCACAGTGTTTACACTCGTCAGAAGGTCAACCTACGCATGCTTTACTTACAGCCAGAATATTGCAGACTTCACCAATAAATCCAAAGATTGGTGAAGCTTCAACTCAGTTTAAGATATACTCTTATTGGTTAATAACTATTGCAAAATGTATGTTGTTTGTAATGATCTGAAATTCTCCAGCCTTTGAGCTGATCTACAGTTACAACCTATATTGGTTAATGATTGAGCTGTACATGATGCATGACATTACTTTCTGTTTCTGCTCTATACTTGCTACTGCCCACGGAGGGTGTGTGCGTGTGTGCGTGTGAGTGTGTGTGTGTGTGTGTGTGTGTGTGCGTGCGTGTGTGTGTGCGCGATGTACAGACAATTGTTCCTTAGGCAGCTCTGTCCTCTCTATACACTAGCATGCAAATTACTTCAGACCCTGCAACCAGTATGTGTTATTTTAGTATAATTAATATAATATTACATTATATTATTAATATTTCCATTTTATTTTTAATAATTTATTAATTCAGCTTATTTCAAGTTTTAATTAGATTTTTTAAATATAATTTTTTATTTGATTTCAGCTTTATTTTAGTTACTGAAAATGATATTAACTTTAGCTTTAGTTGGTAATAAACATGTTGCCTGTATTGTATATCATCAACAGGATATGATGTCACACACCAGGGCTGCTAATAAAAATAAAATATATATTCAAAAGGTTACCAAAATACCATCCACTCCGCTTTCCACTAAATGAAAAATTAATTACTTAACCTTTCCTCTATAAAAATGGAAAATATTAATTTATTAAAACAATACAATTCATACATACATGGGGCCCTATGAAATCCATTTTATTTTTTCCAAAATTCAATTTTTTCCCCCCCAAATTCATTTTTTTTCCCCGTTTTAATTTTCGTGGACTCCATTTTTTCTTTACTCTTTTAATATATAAAAATTTCAATATATACAATCTCGCATCAATCTATTAAAAGTTTAACAAAAATTACATGTTTAGGGCCCTATGAAATGTTTTATTTTTTCCCACCATATGTTTAGTGTTAACAAATTCTTTGTTTTAGCATGTCTAATTATTTTAATGCAAAAAAAAAAACCCCAACCTAATTTATTAAAATTAATTCTTAAAATAGCCTTTTGAGATGGTTTTCCCTCTCAGAAATTCTGTGTTGTGTATTTAGATTTTTCTGGTTGTCAAATGAAAGCATAAAACATTAATTTCATTTATCTTTTAATTACTGAAAATTAAATAAACTTTACTTTTTAAATTAAAACATGGAAGAAATATTGTGTGATTATTACTTAAAAAATAAGTTTAATAATTTTAGTAGTAGTAGTACAATAGTAACAATATTCATATATTTCTGGCACAATGTCTTCAAGTCAAACCGAACTTTTATTTTGACAGGTTGCCGTGAATACCTTTACATTTCTGTGTGTATATGTTATGACACTAGTTTTACTCAAATGAATGGTGAAATGCTCATGAAGTGACTCTCAGAAGAATTTTGGAGATGTTCTTCTTGTATTTCTGTCCTCATTTAGTGAGACAACAGATGCTGACATCGCCACGTGTGTAGTAAATTAAACTGCGCATCTGCGCCATTCATTCACACAGAGAAAATGCAGGATTCATATTTAAATAGTACACTGAACAAAATTATAAATGCAACACTTTTGTTTTTGCCCCCATTTTTCATGAGCTGAACTCAAAGATCTAAGACTTTTTCTTTGTACACAAAAGGCCTATTTCTCTCAAATATTGTTCACAAATCTGTCTAAATCTGTGTTAGTGAGCACTTCTCCTTTGCCGAGATAATCCATCCACCTCACAGGTGCTGATTAGACAGCATGATTATTGCAAAGGTGTGCCTTAGGCTGGCCACAATAAAAGACCACTCTAAAATGTGCAGTTTTACTGTATGATAATTTTGTTCAGTGTATATATGTATGAGCTCGATACCATAGAGCCCCCCCCACATAACAAATTCCAATTTAACCCCTGATGTTAACTAATGCAGTTAACTAATGTGACCTTATTATAAAGTGTCACCACTATTTTAACATTTTAAGCAAGTATGTATTCAAGATGCAAGGAAATATGTTATTACATTTGACTTTATGGTTACACCACATGACAGTTTTGGAGTCATTAAATTGAAACTTTTCATTAAACTTTGGTATAACCGTTTTCCAAAACTATACAAAACCGACATGAATACAAAGAGTACTTGACAAAGAACTTGTCACATGTGTTTTGAACTTTTTTTTCTTCTTCATAAAGGACACTTTTGACCCATTGACCTCTACATCATTGACTCAATAAACAAAACTCCCTAGCAATTGCACAGAAACAAATGCGCTGACAGAACACCTTTGCATTGTGGGATCGACTTCTGTGTGGGAATATATACCTGTTTAGTTTGATAAATGATATCTGTACTCTGACATATATACATGTGACATGTGACCCTGGACCACAAAACAATCATAAGGGTCCATTTTTTGAAATTGAGATTTATACATCTGAATAAATAAGCTTTCCATTGATGTATGGTTTGTTAGGATAGGACAATATTTGGCTGAGATACAACTTTTTGATAATCTGGAATCTGAGGGTGCAAAAAAATCGAAATATTGGGAAAATCGCCTTTAAAGTAAAATTGTCCAAATGAAGTTCTTAGCAATGCATATTACTGATCAAAAATTAAGTTTCGTTATATTTATGGTAGGAAGTTTACAATATATCTTCATGGAACATGATCTTTACTTAATATCCTAATGATTTTTGGCATAAAAGAAAAATCGATAATTTTGACCCATACAATGTTTTGTTGGCTGTTGCTATAAATATACCCGTGCTGCTTATGACTGGTTTTGTGTTGCAGGGTCACATATATACTGTAAATGGCAGTTGGTTGACTGTTGTGTGTGTGTTTGCACAGAGAAACCGGTGAACGCAGACCAGCAGGAGCGGACTCTTCTGAAAGGCGTGTTCAGCGTCAGGAAGGGAAAGACGCAGCTCCATAAATGGGCCGAGCGGCAGGTCATCCTGTGCGGGACGAGTCTCATCGTTGCCTCTGTCAAGGACAGCCTGACCGGCAAGATGCACATACTACCCCTGGTCGGGGGGAAGGTAGGGGTCCACAGACACCCACCCACACACACACGCGCGCCCCGGGCTCCAGGAACAGATAACAGAGAGCAGATGCATCAACACAGCTGTGAGTGAATGAGGATGAGGAAGGAAGGGAGGGAGACACACGACAATCAGACCTTTCTCTCCAGTGTGTGTTAAAGGAACATTCTGGGTTGTTTTCCACTTTATGTCTGTGGACAGTATGTGTGGCATGCTGTCGATTACCCCACACAATACTTCCAGCTCCGAATCATTTCAGCTTCAGTCTGTTGTAATACACTTCAAGTGGACGTCTGGCAGTCGAGCACTTGCATGAATTCTTCAGTTTAAAAAGTTGTGACGGAGAAAGGAAATGCACTTGCATATAAGCTGAAAAAAGCACTATATTACATTTAATTTTAATTTTAATTAACATGAAATCAAGTTTCAAAGCATATTACATTTAGTTCACACTTAAAGGAATAGTTCACCCAAAAATGAACATTTTTACTCGCCCTCAGTTCATCCAAGATGGAGATGAGTTTGTTTCTTCATCAGATTTGGAGAAATGTAGCATTGCATCACTTGCTCACCATTGGATCCTCTGCAGTGAATGGGTGCCGTCAGAATGAGAGTCCAAACAGCTGATAAAAACATCACAGTAATCCACAAGTAATCCACACCACTCCAGTCCATCAGTTAATGTCTTGTGAAGTGAAAAGCTGCATGTTTGTAAGAAACAAATCCATGTTTCTTAAGCTAGAGAACATGCTAGTTTCGCAAGATCCAAGCTTTGTTTACAGCAAAGGAAAACCAGTCTCCTCTTGGCTAATATCGAAATCCTCCATTTTTCTTTCCAAATCCTTGGTTTGTATTTCTAGTTCGTGACCGGTGTTTTGTTTTCGTCACTTCTCACCGGAGCTTATGCTACATCTACGTCCTACGTCATCCGCTGGAACGCCACTCTCTCGTGAACGTGCTTACCACAGTTAGCGGAAGCTAGAGATTACGGTTTATAAAGTTTTAAATATGGATATTTTTCTTACACAAACGCATCGCTTCAGAAGGCCTTTATTAAGCTCCTGGAGCCGTGTGGAACACTTTTTATGATGTATGGATGCGTCCATACAATGTATTGTTGGCTATTGCTACAAATATACCCCAGCGACTTAAGACTGGTTTTGTGCTCCAGGGTCACATTTTATGGACTCCTATTGTAGTCAGAATCAATGGTTTAAAATGAAAATTAAAACATCTTAATGATGGATTTGTTTCTTACAAACACTCAGCTTTTCACTTCACAAGAAGTTAATTGATGGACTGGAGTCGTGTGGATTACTTAATTCCTTTAAGTATATTTTTGAAAGCATATGATTTCCATAATATCTGAGGCAGAATAGCTGCTTCTGAGGAAGAACTAAACGTTTTTTCAAAGCATGTAGTGTCTCCATTACCAACAGTTGACAGGTGAAACCTTGCTTTCTTGGCTCAGGTGGAGGAGGTGAAGCGGAGGCAGCACTGTCTGATGTTCAGCTCCGCCGGACCGCAGGCTCAGACCTACTACGTTAACTTTGACACGCTGACCGACTACCAGCGCTGGCAGCGGCAGGCTTCTAAAGTGAGTGAATGTGCTTCATCTAATCTAGACATGCATTAAGATTTCATTAGCAGGCCCACAGTGATTCAACAGCCGATCAGTGTTTTCTCTTCTTTCAGTTTTGCAATAAAAAACCCCTCACAGACTGTACGTGTTTGTATTTTCCGTCCCCGCCGCCTGCAGTGAACAGCTTTGCTGAAACGGCTGTCTGTATTGAACACGCACATTTATTGTCCTGAACTTGTATGTTTGCTTTTATGTTTGGTTTCTCTGTGCTCGGTTGGTCCTCATTTGTCTTAATCACCTAATTAATTGGCATTCCAAACTCCGGCTGCGTCTCTGGAGTCTAATGAGGTCTGACCATCTCTGGAGAGCACCGAGAGCGGCCCAACGCCAGAACCGTCTTGAATAATGCAAAACGCATTCTGCACAATTGTGTGCGAGGGTGATCCTGCGGTAAAGGGCTGTTTGAGGTGGCATGATAGATGAGAAAGAGAGCGTTTGTGTGTGTTTTGTGTGTCTAATGTGCGTCGCTACAGCCGTTGTGCTGTGAGCTCTGATCGACTCCATAATAAAAGAGCCTTTCAATTCAGTTCAAGTCATTGTTGGCTAAAACTAAAATGATTAAAAATCATTTTTCTCAATTGAAATATAGCTGAAATAAAACCTAAATATTAGATGGAAAAACCTAAACCTAAAACCTAAGTTTGAGTTGAGTTTAAGCTGAAGCTGAAATAAAAATAAAGGTGAATAAAATATATTTTTTAAAAATAAACAAATATAGTAAACGCATAACAAAATTGCTAAAACTGAAAATATAAAAATAAAAGCTAAATCAAAACATTAATAAATATTATAATAGTATATAAATAATACTGAAATAACAGTGGTACAAGTCAGACATTTAGGGGTCGGAGGCAATTATTATTGTTTATTTTATTTTTTTATATTGTACCATGTGCAAAAGTTATGATAACAAAAGTTATGATTTAGTAACTGTGAAAATGTCAAGTGGCGTGACTATTAAGTAAAACATTAATAACATTTTCCCTGAATATATTTTCAAAAGTAAAAATATTGTTATTATTATTATTTACAAATATTATGCATTTTTAGAGTTTGTTTATGGTAATATTAGTAATATTTTAAAGCAGAGTTGATTTGTAAAAAATATTTTTTATTTTTTATAAGTAAAGTTGCTTTCCTACTTTAACCCTTTTTTATAAATAATAAATAAAATGAATAAAGATTATGCTAAACTGCTTCTGTATCATATTAAGACTTTATTTCATTATAATCCTAAGGCATTTTGACTGAATGATGATGTCACCACAATGATTTTTGCAGCTTAAAAATCTGATTGGATGGAACCACATTTTAATGTAGCTGATAAATAAACTCTACACTGTAAAAAAAATTCCGTAAAATTTTCCGTATTTAAAAAATACGGTAGCAACGTTTTAGGTTTTACGGTTTTAACTTAAATTTACAGTTAAATACCGTAATTTCATTAACTGATATAATGTTAATATACCAACCTATTTAAGTACTGAAATCTGTTTTGTACCTTTGTAATACACTGATAACCACCAAATGCAGGTGGTGATGAGAAAGTCACATGATGAACCAAAGCCCATCACAAGCAGCTTTTAAATACTAACATATATAGAAGGTCATTCACACAAACGCTAAACACCATCATGGTAACACACATGAAACTGAAATAATGCAAAAAACATTACGGTTTTAACTTACATTTACAGTTAAATACTGTAATTTCATTAACTGATATAATGTTAATATACCAACCTATTGAAGTACTGAAATCTGTTTTGTACCTTTGTAATACACTGATAACCACCAAATGCAGGTGGTGATGAGAAAGTCACATGATGAACCAAGGCCTATCACAAGCAGCTTTTAAATAATAACATATATAGAAGGTGCACAGTGTCATTCACACAAACACTAAACACCATCATGGTAAGACACATGAAACTGAAATAATGCAATAAACATTTATTTAACAACATTAGGTGTAACACACAACCCTAATATACAAAACTGATAAGAAAAAACTAAGAAGAAACCGTTATTTCAACAAAAAAACATCAAATTTGAATGTAATGCAGGGAATTCTGGGAATGTCAATTTACGGTTATTCCCTGTAAATTATACGGTCTTTTTCACTTCCAAAAACGGTATACTACCGTAAAATTTATGTCCAATACATGTAATGTCCAATACAGTTTTTCACCGTATATAGTAGGGGAATTTACCGTTAACCATTTAACAGGTTTTTACTGTAGCATTTATACAGTCTTTTACCGTTAAATTCACGGTCATTTTGGTGAACAAAAGATTGTAATTCGTATTAAAAACCTGACATGAAATAACAGTCAGAAAATGGTTTATTGGACTAACTAACTAAATAAACAAATAAATAAATACATGTTTGCATAACATTGGTTGTCTTTTACCATTGGTCCACCATTTAATTCAAGCAATAAAGCATTGAAGCCAAGGCCTTGCAGTACACTGATTTTCCCATGGTTAGGCTTTGCGTCATGCATAACCTTATTTTGATATCAGCCGTATCGCAGCATATGGGTGTGTAAAGAGCGGGATGTTGATGAGCTGTGTGTTTTGTAGGTGGTGTCTCAGACTATCAGTCTGGTGGATTTGTCCTGCTACAGTCTGGAGGAAGTGCCTGAGTATCTCTTCTACTGCCAGGACGTCACACACCTCAACCTGCGCCACAACTTCATGAGTCTGGACGGCCCTGGAGGACTCATCAACTTCAGCAGGTGAATTCAGCATTAGATACAATCTTTATGCTTATTATATTACTGTTCAGTGGGGCTTCGTGATGGTTTGTCTGCTGTATGTCAATTGTGCACAGAAAGACAGCGAACTGAGCTAATGTATTCCTGCTAGGTGCACTTTAGAAAAACCTTTCTTAAATGCTCTTTGCATAATCACAAACTTAGTTTCCACTGGGATGTGGTGTCTCGCTGCGCTGCTGTGCACACAGACTCCGTGTAAATGGTAGAAGAGCTATTTATTCTGTGCATGCACTTATGTCAATGACAGCCGCTTCTGTGCAAACACAAGCAATAAGAGCATCACTAAATGGGAGCATACTGAAGAGATGATGCTATCACACGTTAATCATCAACTATGTTTAGTGGTGTTTAAAATGGTACGGTTATCTTTAGATGACGACGCAGCAATAAACATGTGTATTTCTCAATACAAAAGAAACGCCTAGGTCATGTTTCACCCCAAAATTAAGAGAACAAAAATTTATAAGAAGCCTAAATTGTTTACCACAGTTATGTGTAAATAAAGTGATGCAGAGTGATGTAATTGACAGTTTAAATTATATCTATTTTTTTGTGTTTCAATAGACGGTGAGCATTAACTGGGTAGTGGGGAGGCTTTTAAAGTTGGCATGAAATGGGAATTGTGATTTTTCTTCCTTGGTGAAATGGCTTCTCGATCGAGAAATTGTTACTTGAAAATAAATGTTTACTGAAATGAAATATAAAAAACATAAAGTTGTCTTATTTTTCATTTTTGTTTATCTTAAAGCACTAAAGTAACTAAAACTAAATAAACTTAAACTAATAAATAAAATAACTCGATATACATATTTAAAAAAATGACAAACAAAAGAAAATGGTTGGAGCTTTAAAATTTAAGTGAAAATATTAAAA